TTGTTATCAATGCCAAGTGATTTTTCTTCACTTGAATTGGTACTTGATTGAAAATTCACATTTGACTAAGTCAAAAGAATGTCTAAATTTAATCTAATAGTATCTAAAAAGATGATGACTTAAGAGCAACTGGAACATTGGTCACTAAAAGAACTATTGTTATTGGACTGTACTGGGATGGTTTAAAATTCTGTAGTCCACAGAAAAGCATCTTTGATGAAAAAAAGGTACCAAGATTTGCATGTGAGGATTTTGAGCAGCTTAGTAATTATTGAAAGAATGTTCTTTGGGTAGATAAAACAAAAATTAACATTTTGGGCCACAACTCAGCTCACCATATTAAGAAGAAAAGATAGATATGTCTAAGATCCAAAAAAATATTATAAAGGCCTTGTATGAACAATGTCTTCAAGTCATAATTACAAAGGAAGGTTAAAATCCAGAATATTAAAATAGAAAATCAGCATGTCTGAATATTTATTCTATTGTTACAATGCAGAATAAAATATCAACAATACACTGTTAGAAAATAAGTATTTTTCCCTTAGGAATTGTTAATTTTTATATCAAGATAAATAACCTGTGAAAAAAATCTAAAGTAAATGTTACTGTAAAAGTAAATGCAAAATCCAAAAGAAGGAAATAGCAACAACAATTTCTTGTTCAAAGTGATAGGTCTTGACCAGACACCTAATGCACAACTGACAATGGTGAAATTGCCGGAGCTTAAATACAACTCCATAATTTAACTACTTTTAACCAGCAGGCATGCCAAACCTGTTGCTAATTTAAATGCAATTAGCTTCTATGTACATCTAATAGTTAGAAGTATGTTAAATATTTGGCAAATGTCCAAATACTTATCCTCTTCTCCCACTGTATATATAAACAGGATATATTCTGTTTCAGAAACTTAGGATTTGAATAAATATTTTTTAACAACAAATATTGAATCTTCTATCTAAATAAATAAATATCAAATTTTATCTGTCCATCCGTGTGTCTGAAACCACTCACCCCCTACTTCTGGCCACTTTGATCTATATAGACATACTTTTTTGGAATCAGGATGATCCTGGGATTGAAAATCTGCTCTTCATCTGGTGCTTGAACATCCTGCATTGGGATTTGTGTCTGGATCAGGCGGGAACAGTTAAATTGATTTTATTGATTTTAAAAGTTTTTAATTTATATTGAATTTAAAGTAATACAAACATTTTGTGAATTTAAAAATTTTTGTTTTAAATTCAGTTTAAAATATCTCCAAAACTTTGTGAATTAATGAAATCAATTTTATTTCTTCAAAATGCCAAGGAGTTAAGTGAGAGGTTTTGAGACATGAGATTTTGAAGTTCCGCAGTGTATGTGATTTGAAAAACTCAACTCAATTGATGTTCCACGGAATTTGTGACTTGAAGAACTCAATTTTTATCCTGTATTAGAATTTTGACTCAAATTGGACTTTTGGTCCAATCAGTTTTTTTGCTAGAATTGGATTTATAGCCTGAATCAGAGTTAAAATGAGATTTTGAAGTTCCATGGAGTGAGTTAAGGAATTCAAAGTTATTGCTTCAAAATTATCATTGCTGTTTTCTAAGCTGGACCAGAGGTCCTTTTAGCTTTGAGCGAGAGGCCAAATTAGCACCCCGCCCAAACACACACACAAACACACACACACACACACAGAGGAGCTAGCTTAAAAGCCCACAAAGAGCATTACTTTTAAGCTAGTAATTAATAAAGGCAATTAAAAAAGGTCAAAATTAACAATGTCAATCAAGATTTATGTTTATTTTTTATTAAATGAGACATTGTCAATCATTAGCATTAATTTTGACCTGTGTCTTTTTCATCCCAATTTTTTTCGTTGCTTTTTATTGCAAAATTACAAAGGATGAAAGATTTTAATTAGGATGAAAGTCAAAATTATTAATGAGAAGATTTGTTTTGCAAATTTCTATAGATTCAAAAAATCTGAAATTTAAAAAATAAATTCTTCACCAAAATTAGGAAGAATCATAGAAAGATTCTAATAAAAATATTAGAGATTCTTATGAAAATAAAAGAAATGATGAAATAAATAATAAATATGTAATATAAAATATGATGTGTTTTTATATATTCAGAATTTGTATCCTTATCTTCCCTTTCTGATATTTCATTATTATGGTAATGAAAGGCTTTATTTGATAATTTCTGTCTGAATTTTGATGTCAGTAAGTGAACATGCTTCATGTTAACACAGCAGTGCAACATCTCATCAGGCTGCTAATACATTGCTTTTTAGTTCTTTTATTTCATAATAGCATTATTTTGATATTTTTACTTTTAAGGATCCAAAAATCAAAATTCTTTCTTACATTCTGCAATATATTTGATTGTATATATTTATTTGATTGTATATATTTTTATAGATAAAAATCCTAGATAACTCATCCTGAAAATATAACCAATGTAACTGCAAAATTCTGTAAATATTATATCAGATATCAATAAACTAGCATTACCCCCACCACCAGAAAACAAAAAAAAAAAAATGCATATTCCATTAATAATTATTTCTGAATACTTCCAAACAACAGACACTTATCAAGTTATAACTTTGAAATCTCTGTGTAATTTTCTGTCAGAACAAAACTGCAACATTGATGCAATTATGAACAAGAAGTTTTTAACAAATGCTTGTGTAACCCTCAACCCTCCTTTTTAGTTGCTATCACCGCTAACCATGTTGTATAACACCGACCTTATGGGTCATCTGGCTTTCTTTTCTCTCTTTGGTTGAGGATGGTGTTTTATCTTGATAGGGTTCATTCATTTTGGGGTTGATTGGTGATGTGTTTAGTGGTGGACCAAAATATACACTGTGTACTGCAGAGAGAAGAAATGAGCAATTCTTGACTGCAGCCATCGAAAGTTAATTCTTTGCATCCGAGACAATGTCAGGAATCAAGGCTGGAATGAGAATTTGTTCAGTAAATTGGACCACACTGTTGATAACACCAACAACAGATTTACTGAATATTAAAACTGGTGAATACAATGTCTCTATTATCTACTGAAAGACTAAGTTCTACATCACTGGATAGTGGCCTGAAAATCTTGTAGTAATTGTGGAAGCAAGACTTGCCTATTGCCCCTCACTTAATTCTGTCCTGTGTGACGCTGTGTTAACTTTGGCCATGGGAATTTCGATGTGTTTTTATGACAACGATAGGTGTCTACAAGGCAATGGAGTGAGTCTTTGTTTATGTAGATAACCTCATTAAAATTTGACATTGATGTATCTAATCTTAGGAAATCTTTTTCAGAAATCACATGGGTTCCTTTGTTAAAGAAATTTGGTCACTCTTTTTCTACTAAAATATAAGTGTTTGGTGAATAGTATTAATGCAAACAGACCCCAGATTTGTGCTGAATTTGCTCTTATCTGTACTTGCATATTAATTGTATGAGAGTTGTTTTATCAAATGTTGTGATTATATTGAATTCAAGTACAAAAGCTGTTATGATTCTTAGAAAAATAAAAATTGTTTTTCACCATTGAAACAAAATGGAGAATTAAAAAAATTACAACTTGGAAAATATTTTGGAGTTTGATCTTTCAGAAAACAGAAAACTTACAACAAATATTCATGACAGCATTTTTTCTTCATGAAATTCAAGAAGTTAGCAAATGTCATGATCTAGGATATCTAATGAATGAGTTATATTTTGGGAATAACATTTGAATTGAAGTCAGATTTATTTGGTGTTTTTATGGTGAATTACACTAGAGACACACTGAATGGCAAGTTGAAAGCATACTTGACAGTCACTTATGTCTTCAGGAATTAATTTCTCCATTGAAAAAACAAAGAAATGCTAAAAATATTTCAATGAAACTAGAATTCACAAATAAATTACAAATGCTTTTCCCCCATTTATAAATTACCTTCTGTAACTCATGAATTGAGAGATTTATATAGTTTGTAGGATTTCAATGCGTTATTGTTTTTGTGTTTTGAATAAAATGGATTTGTGTATGTACTTGTAAAAATTATCCTAATAAAAGAAACACTTGCAACACATTCTCAAGTATCTATTCACACATCTACTGATTTAGAATAGATGCAAAGGAAATAACCGGCTAAAAGTAAAGCATAAATGATAAAATTGTTATGATTGAATTAGTTACTCTACCCACATCAATGTATTTTATCAAGCATTTTGAACATTTTTTATATTCTTTCAGTATATAAAATATACAACAGGGGTCAGTAACTGTGCCTCTGAATTTCTTTACATTTTCCAGTGCCACAGTTTAAATGTCTGTTGTTAAAGCATAAATCTGTCATTAGTTGCATTTAATTACAAAAATGATGGTAACATGGGCTTTTAAATTAGACATTCAATAATCTAGGACATCCTGGAGTTTTGAAAAAATCCCTCTTACTGCAAATGAATTATAATAATGATTGTAGGGATACAAAATGTGATTATCTCCCTTTGGTTGAAATGAAGTCATGTGTGTTACATGGTGGCCACTTAGTGACATCATTTCATAGTGTGACAATAGTGGTCAGTCAATCAGCTTCCAGGAGTCAAACCGAGCAGTTACTATTTTAGCCCAAGTCAAGGTTAAATCTCCCCACCCAGTCACATGGTGCAGCTTAGAAAGCTTATGGTAATGTTTTCCTATAGAAATATATCTTCGAATATAAAAAATATCTCTGGCTTACAGTCCTCATGTTGTGAAAAACCCAGGACTCACCATTTCCCATATTTGTCATTCCTTTTCATTCAGCTATTCTGTTTTTCCATGAAATAAAGTGTTATTAAACCATGGATATAGTAACGCCAATAATAGGGTAAATACTAATGGGAAAATAAACATTTCTTCTATAGCACACCCAAAATCTTTTGTACCTGACTTGACAATATATTTTTTAACTCCATTATTTGTTAACCATGATATATTATTAACTTCTATTATGATTAATTTTCTGTTGTAATTTCAGGGAAAACCGACAACATTCCAAAGCCCCCAGCCAGACGCAAAAAAGAAAAAAAGCCACCATTGCCAGAAAAAATCCATTCAGATCAAGAGGTAGAGTTGTACTTTTAAGACTATATATATATATATATATATATATATATATATAATTGAATTTACCACAAGCAAAGTAGTAAAGCCACTAAGACACAAAGGGTTACTGGGTATTAAATAATTAAAAAACAGAAACATTCTTAATGAGAAAAAACAATACAAGAATAATCAGGAAGACAATAGATAATGACTGACATTGCATTTAAATTTTTGAAGATCAAAGTTGGTTGGCAACCTAGGAGCTAGAAGAGATTTCCACAAGCAAGAAGTGCGAGAAAAGAAACTGTTAGTATAGAACTTATGTTTATATCTAGCCAATTCAATTGTAAGTTGATGAGACCTTGTTGCCAATCTAGTACTGTGCTTAAATTTAGAAAGTCTAGGTACCATAACAAAGAACTTGTTTGAACAATTACCATGAAAGTATTTATAGAAAAGGCACAGGGAAAACATCTTTAAGGTGGTAGGGAAGTAACTGAAGCTGATACACTAGGTCAGGAGCAATAATATTGCTGATTCTTCTTTAGATTTTATCAAGGATCTCTACATATAGCAGGAACATTGGACCATATGTGGCAGCAATTTTCTAAGCATGGATGAATGGTATATATAGATATGTAAGATAGATTATAGAGAGAAAAATTGTCTCACCCAACACATTGAACCAACTTTGTTAGCAGCTGATCAAGCAATGGATTCAATATAGTCTTTCCACTTTGTCAGCTGAGAATGTTAACTTGAGAAGATGCAATGAGTCACTCTCCTGGAGGTTAGCATCAGACATGCTGATGGAAAGGGGTCTCTCAGAAAGCAGTTTGGTTTTAGAGACATTAAAATTAAGCCATTCTTTGCCCCAGTTAACAACAGACTGTTGGTTGTTTTTGAGAACAGCTAAAACAAAGTAGGACCAAGAATAGAACTCTGGTGGTACACTTGCATTAGTACAAAATGATCTAGAAGAGTGGCCATTCAGGATAACTTTCATTTCACGATTAGATAACAAAGACTGAATCAATTCAAAAATTTATCTGGAGACACCGTAACTTTTCAACTTGTGAAGAAGACTGTTATACCAAATCCTATGAAACACTTTCAAGATGTCCAAAGCAACAGCTCAAGGTTCACCATTCTTATCTAAAGCTTGATAGACTCTTTTTGCAATAATCATTAATACATCAGCAGTTGACCTAGAGAAATGAAAGTTGTATTACTTGTCCGAAAGAAGTTCCTGCATTGTGAGATGCTTAACTAATTCAACATTGATTAGGGCCCCTAATTATTTACCAAAAAGTGGTTGAAGGCTAATAGGCTGATAGTTGGAAGGGTCAGATGGTTCACCTGAGTTCTTAAAGACTGAAACAACAGAAGCAGGAAAGTGAGAGGTAGAAAGGCATTTATTATCTCAATTTAGTGAGAACAGAAGTCAGTTTGAGAGCACATTTTTTAAGGTCTCTGACAGGAATACCATTTGGTCCACATGCTTTGTGGAGGATCCAGATTAGAGATGATAGCAGAAAACGTGGAAGGAGTTATATGCATATCACTCAATAGAGACTTGGTTCTAAGTGGAAAGTTAGACAAGGGATTAAATAAATTAGATAAAAATATGAATTTTCATAAAAGAAAAATATTTTGAAATAGTTTCTATCAAACAGTGTCTATTATGTTTCTTATCCAGTGTTTTTTTTTATCCAGATAGTTCACTGAAACTAAATCTGTATAGGACTTCACTGGAGAACCACTGCAGTAGACATCTGAGAACAGTAGTAATTTTATTTACCAATCAAACATTATTTAAATTTATGTCCATTCCATGGTTTAAATTCCTCTATGTGACAAAAAAAGAAACAATTATGATGTATAAATGCATTGCATTGTATGAAAGCCAATACTGATGATATTCATTATTCATTCTTATTAATATCCCAAAGATAATACATTTAACTTTATATACCAAAATAAGTTATAAATAGTCTTAAATAGGAATTCCTAATGATAACTTTAACAACAACAACAAAAAAAATAGATGGATTCTGATATCCAACATAGCAGTGAATGTGTTACGGCGTTAAGCAGGTGCCTGTTAACCCCGCAAACAGAAAAATAATATAGGGTGATACGATCGAAGCAAGGACAACAAAGGCAAGGATGTAAAAGTTTAAGCCAAATTTTATTAAATAATCTGGCAAAAGTATGTACAGATAATCGTTTGCTGGAGTTTGGTCGTGAAGTTAGAGAGTGTCAATTGAAGGAGCATTGTCAGGTTTCAAGGCGACAGCTCGGAGGTAGGCCAAATGGAACAGTGATGTTCGAGGTCCAGTTGATCCCTGGATGTCTGCTGTTTTGTAAAGAGCGCGTCAGCGCTTGAGAAGAGAGAGGATCGACGCGGACGGCACTGGTGTAGTCTGTTCATCCTTGGTATGACAGTCGTGCAAGGTCGCAGCTTGGTAGTTCTAATAAAAGGACATTCGTAATAACGTGGCTAGATTAGTCCTGAAAAGGACTATCGCAAATCATGTAACCGGGTGTTGTCCGGAAAAACGACTAGTGCATATCATGTAACCAAGTGTAGACTAGTGTATATCATGTAGCCGAGTGTAGACTAGAACATATCATGTAACCGAGTGTAGTCATGAAAAGGACTAGTGCATATCATGCAGCCGGGTGCTGCTGCTGAAGCTGGGTTGGCCTCCTGCTGCTGCTGCTGAAGCTGGGTCAGCCTGCTGCTGCTACTGAAGCTGGGTCGGCCCACTGCTGCTGCTGCTACCCATTGCTGCTAGATTTGGCTGCTTCATGTGGTCAGCAAAGGTGAGAGGGGGGAGCTCGTCGCTCAACCCCGAGGCCAAAATCCGCCAAGAGAGATATCTGGTGGAAGTTAACAGCATTCGTTCTGTTTTCCACGGTGTTGCTTTTGGACGTTTGAGTAGCTGGCAGTAACTTCTGGCCGGGTGCGATAAATGCCTTAATATATAAAATCTCTGGTTTAAAATCCTGATAATGTTTATTAGTAGCAAAAGTTTTATCTTTATTTTTATGTTTTCTCATGGCAAACATTGCTAATCGTTATTATTATAAATATTGACTGATATTTCTTTTCATCTCATTTACTTGCAATAAAAAGCAACTAAAAATTTTAGATGAAAGTAAATATGAGTGAAAATTAAAAATAAAGATACTACTGCTGTTGCTAATGATACTACAAGTGGAGAAAAAACAAATATGGTGCTGAGAGAGTTTGGGGAAAGAAATGCTGAATTAAAGGATAAACTTGATCTGTATGGCACTAGTATCTCAGTGAAATTGAGCAGCTGGTACATTCAGCCATGTTTTCCTGAGGAAAAAAAAAATATATGAGTTTGAATCTCCCCAAAAACCTGTCCTTAATTTCTGGTGTGTGTTGTCAAGTGACTGTCACAGATTTTGAAAGTCTAAGTAATGTTGGCATGTGAAAGTAACCAAAAAATATCGATGAAAATAAATGTCAGAATTAATGATAATAATGTTTATCAATGATTAAAAAATATTTTTACAAAAACAATTTCTTCTCTAAATTTTTTCACTGTCAGGATAACCAATTTTATGAAGAAATGAATCAAATGACACTGAATTCATCTTCATCTCTTCCTTCACCTCCAAAAAGTGTGCCACCCCTACCCAAAAAAGATCAACAGAACAAAACAAATAGTCATGAGATAGAGGATGATGGCAGTAAGTAAATTTTCTTTTTAAAATTAAAGAGTTGCAAGTTACTATACATTTTTCTTTCAGATTTCCTCCAGGCTGAAACCAAGATCCTTTGGATAAATATTTATTTTCACTTATTCCTTATTTTCAGTATAGAATTTATTTTTTCTTCATACTTTCTTCCATTTTTGTTGTTCTAGAAACCACTTCATTTTCAGCTCGTCATCTTCTCCCCAAATATCAGAATGAAAAATCCCAAGTTGTCAAAATATGACTTTGAAAGGTCATCTTTGATTCACATCCGATTGATTATCTACAAAATTTATCATTCACAAATTCTCTTACCAAAATGTTCCAGTGCTCTCTTGTTGACACCGCAATTTCTTTTGTGTGTGGCAGGCCAATCACCAGTTCCTAATACATGGAAATTCATTTGCATGTGTAGCAAAAAAACTTTAAACTTATTGTTGCACTCAATGCCTGCAATCAGGTTCTTCTCACTCATCTACAGCACTTTTAGACAATTCAATACAGTCAATCATCTTTTTCTTTCCTTACATCTTTGTTGCCTCATTCTTCCCATTTTTATGTACCATTGACAGCCAAAATTTGCATATGTACAAAGATAAACTTCTGAGAGTGTATCTTACTCCGAGATCTAACTATTTTAAATATGTCACCCGCAAAGCCATTATTTCTTTTTCTGTTGGACAGTTTGCACCACAAGACACATTTGAATCTTTGCTTGTGCTCAAGGTAAGTTATTTTATTTTTGATTTTATTTTAGCATTGCAAAAATATATGCAACTCTGGGCATCTCTGTCTGTAGTTCACTACAGCCTGGTACATTTGTGTATTTTCTGAAAGAATATTTTCTGGTAAAATAGATCAGTTTTAAATTGGTAAGTTTCATGCACTGAATAGTTTTTCGTTACTAATTATTGCTATATATATATATATTAAAAATTTTCATTTATCTGTTCTGAATAAGACTTGTGTTTTTATGTCCATCGTATTTGTCATATTGAACTGAATTGTATTTTGATGAATATTGTCTTGAAAAAGGTTTATTAAACCGAAACGTCAGACGTCGACATTTCTTTCATTTTAACTACATTTAAGGATTTTTGTTTGTTTTTTCAAAATTTCTTCATATATATATATATATATATAATTATTATTTATAAAAAAATTATAACATAAGTATGTTATAAAATCACTACAAAAATAGCCATTTTGTTTCAACACACTCTGTGTCTTATCAAGTGATGATGTTGAAGATAAAATAAATGGTTTTAAAAGTTTCAGATTAATTAACGATCCTACACTAGGGGGAAACATTGTTACAAAAGCTAGAATAACCAATCAAAAACCAAGTATAGAAAGATTCAAAAGCTTGACAACAAAATCATGTTATAATAGCTATTCAGATCTTTAAAATACGTGTAATATTAAAAATAATTTATACTAACCAATAATTCTAAAATTATATGATAAAATTTAATATTAAAATTAAAAACTGGCAATTTTAAAATCCAAATTTAATCACTATTAAGTTTAAAAACTACAAAATTATTGAGAAAAGAAAAATATATATGTTTATTCAATTTATTTCTTCGTTGAAATTACGTTCGACAAGACGCTACAATATATCCGGTCATTTGACAATACATGTATATATATTTTTTATTCTAAAGTGTGAATGTGGTCTTAAACTCACGCAAAAAACAAAAAAACACAATCAGATTATAATACATAAGCACCCAGACATATTTAGATATATATATATATATATATATATAAACACACACAAAAAAAAAAAAAAGAGGGAAAAAAAGAAAGGCGACGAGACAGGAACATCACTACAACCCTTTATAAAAAAAGGAAATGGGGAAACCAACATCTATACACACACACAGTTAAATGTGAATACACTCTACATACACATAGACACTGATAGATACACGTACACACATCCACAGACAATGACCTAGACAATCAGATACCACAACCAATAAATATTTAAGACTTAAAGTATCATTAAATAAATGCTAACCATTTATTAAATTATAACTTAAGGAGAAAAATAACGAAGATAAAATGGTTAAAAAATAATATTATTTAATATATTAAAACGAAAATTCCAAAACCACAAATATCAATAAAAATATATTTTAATCATATAAGTTGATAATAGTTTCATTATATATTAGGCAAAGAAAAACAGGATAAAGAAACCCACAGAAATAAGTGTACATTCATACACATATACATATATATACACACATATACACGTGGCAGCAAACACAAATTAACACACATAAACATACACTCATACATACATATACATACAGAAATACATACATATAAATATATAAACATAAACATATACGCACATATACATATCTATGATAAGTACACATGCACACACATATACATATAAACATAAATACACACATATATACACACATTTTTATGCACACATACTCACATATATAAAAATATGCCCCAATATACATACATAGACTTATCCACTGTAGAAAAAAAGTACATAAATTCATATTTGAGTAGACTCTCTGTTTATTTATTAAATGGTGTATATTTATTTATTTTCATCTACTGGCCTGAGTGTTCAAGAAACTTTATAAATCATATTAAATAAAAATTTGTGCACTATGGCAGGAATCAAACCTGTGTTCCTCAGACCTTAATAAAAAATTAATTCTAAAATTCTCTTTGCATTTGGATATGGAACTGTGCAAATATGAAAAGCTTCAAGAGATCTAAAAATTCTGCCTTGTCTGACTGAGTGCTCTTTGTTGCCAAGTCAGTAAGGTGTGCTGGGTTAAACGGTTGCTCCCTCTGCACTGAGGAAGACTATATATATATATATATATATATATATATATATACATATTTTTTTTTATTTATTTATTAATGTACTTATATATTATATTTTTTTGAATATATCTTTTCCTAAAAGAAGTACTCTTTTCCCATACATAAACATAAAAATTTTTAAAAATTAAAAGAAAATGGTTAAATCAAAACCCATGATTTAAAATAAATACATAAATAATTTATTATCATCGGATGAAACGCATTGGTAAAGAAATGTTTTCCTTTTATCTTTATTCATATATATATATATATATATATATATATATATATATATATACTCTACTTTCCCATTGTTTTTATCGATATCTGAATATCAAGCAACTCAGTTCCTTGGAACTGACGACCAGACTACCTGCACATATGATTTGATTATAATGGTGAAAATTTTGTGCAGAACCAACCACACTTTTTGGAAGAGTTGAATACAAGGTCCCCAAACAACCCTCCATAGGTTTTGAATTCAGAGTTGTCCTTCTCCTAGACTGGTGCCACCCAAGGCTATAGAACTCAGTTTGTCCTGCTAGTTACCAATAGCTTGGGAAAGAAGAAGAGGATTCATACCTTCCCTAAAGAAATGAAATTCAATGTAGTAGATTCAACTGGAATTTGAATTCAGCTCTCTGATTCCTCAATCTGAGCCTCTATCCATTACTCTACCATGCCTCCTATATATATTCCTAATTAAGGTGTACTTAGACAGCAAGACTTCATCCACATAAATTTTATTAAATTCCACCATGGTCCATCTTTTTATTATATCTTTCTAATTTCTGAATGAATTCCTGTACATCAGAATTTAAGTTATGAATAAATTGTCCAAAGTTAATGTTTCTTTTTCTGCTACATTCAAGGCTTTCATTTTTGACACTTTCATCATGTGGTACAATTCTCTTCTCCAGAGAAAATATCTGAAATTTAATGTTTGGTTTCAATGACTTTATTTGAATTTCTACATAAAGTTTTCTTGCAATTAAATAGCTGTAAAAGCTAACATCATTCTTGTTTTTTTTTTTCCAATGTTTTGGTCAGTTTTCTCTCTGGCCTGTCAAAGGCTTATGGCACTATAATGTTGAAACACCACTTTTCGTCCGATCACCAAAATTAAGCAATGTTGAACCTGGTCAGAACCTAAATGGGTAACTACTCAGGAATACCAAGTGCTGTAAGCTTAGATGTGCAGATGGTGTAATATATAATGGCTTGGAATGAGAAATCAGAGAGACAAATTCAAATTCCAGTCATGTTTGTTACATTCACTTACATGCTAATACCTTTGTATGAAGCCACTTTTTCTCCTCCCAGCTATAGGTTAAATATTAAGACTTTTATCAGAAATTCATTATTATTATCTTCAAAAAATTCTTATAATGAAAAAATATTTTTCAGCTTTAAGTAACCTTAAAAAGGTTCTTAAACCATCAAAAAACAAATCAATGAAAAAACCTTGCTCAGGTGTTTATCACATTCAGTAATCTACAGTGAATTTTGAATTGACTTCCAGGAGTTGACAATGCAGATTTCTTTTCTTTTGCTTTTTGTCACATCTGGCATGATTCTTTGCAACATAGAGGATGACAGCAGGGTTTGGGTTGTCGACTTTGGCATTATTAGTGGCATGGGTCTTATAGAGAGGGATTTTTACTTGTCTAGGAGAGGTGAGCAGTACAGCATAACAAGGTAGGATATAAACCAAGAAGAAAATAACTCCCTTCATATGACTACAAATTTCAGTTTTTCTTTCAGATTATCTTCTTCCTGTTTTCCAGAGAGTGAGTTTTTTTTTCTTTTTCATATTCCCTTTCATTGTAGTGAAGAAAATGCAAGGTTGATTTTGATGATCATATGTAATGAAAGATTGAAATTTTACCCTTCTAACTCTAAGTTTAAAGAAAATAAAATCTAGGTGCCATATAAACTGGGTTTCTATAAGTGAAAATCCAAAAGTAGGAGATCTGGAGCAGGTAACTATAAAAACATGGATGAGTTGTGGAGACTTTTGGGGGGGGATTTTTTTTTTGCTGTTGATAGTTTTCATGTCTTTTTGAATTGATGCACTCAGCTATATATATATATATATATATATATATATATATATATATATATATATATAACTTAAAAGAGCCGTACTTAAGCTAGCTCTTGTGGAGGGCTCTTGATTGGGCTTTCATGTGATAGGCAAAAATAAACTACAGAAAAATTCTAAATTGATTGTTAAATTTAAGTATTGCATTAGCTTATCTTTTAAAAGCTCAATGATAATTCTCCTGCCACCAATTAATTTAAAGGCAATTTGATGTATGTAGGTTCTTACTTTCTATACAAACAACTATTTTTAATTCATGGGTGACTTTTGCAGGATTTCACAATTAATTTTGATTGCTCCCAAATTTATTTCTAAGTTATAAAAATTTTATCATACAAAAAAATTTCTTGCAAAAAATCACATTAAAAATTGCTGAAAACAATCTTGGCAATCCAAAATTTGGGTATTATGGGGTCTGGATCCAGCCCAGAATGTTTTTAATTTGCTCACAGAGTCGACATGATACCAAAATGGTATGATGTTTTGAGCTATAGCTTCTCAGAGTAAAGTTGAAACACACTGACATTCACATTTATTATATAGAAGACATTCTTGGATTGTTCTTGTAACTTAATGTCAGTGAAATCAGCTTAAACAATAAATTCTATGAACAACTTTGTTTACTTTTTTTTGTAAATATAAATCAAAGTCTTATTCTTCTCAGCAATTAAACTAGAATATTCTACAACATTCAAGAAAAAAACACTTGCATCTTCTCCATTTCCTCATCTGTTTTAGAATAATGCTGTAACCCTTTAAAAAGTCTTGTGTTGTTTGGAAACATGTCCTTCTTTTGTATTCCTTGTTGATTTTTGGTGTGGGCTTATATTTTCTCAAAATTATCCTCCCTCTGCCAGCATATATGTTTTGTTCTGTCTGCTTTGCACTCATCACTTATATACTCAACTTCCTAGCTATGGGTATGTGCTACAGTGAGCAATGAAGCAATCCCCACTTGTTTGATTTTTTTTTTTTTTATTGAAATATGAATGTCATTTCATCATAAGTAAAACATTTACTTGAATGCATTCAACATGATATCTACAGAGAATAGTTAGGTTATTTGAGAGCCCCACATATTCAGCAGGACATAAATACAAGACAACCTAAAGTTATGTGGCACAATAAAATTCTTATTTCTCTTTAATGCATATCAAGAGCATTGTCATGGCAGCTTCCAATCTGACACAGGAAATGAAAACATATGCCATGCTCCTGGTGCTAACCATTGACCACAGTGACTTAGAGAGAGCCACCTACTTAAAAGTGGCCATCTTAACAGGTGAAATGATAGCTGGCTCTGAGGAGACCCCCATGCAGGTACCCATGGCAATGAACCTAAAATTTACATTGTATTTGATATTTCTGAAGTTTGTGAGTAATAAAGGTCTTGTCATGCCAACTCATGTATTACCACAGGACTCTAGTGCAACCTAGATCAAGACTTGGATTAAGTTGGGTGGCCATGCTTGTTCCAGAAGGACTGTTACTTTCTTCATGGAACCCACATGACCCAAAGGGGAGTGGCTGACTGAGAATTTTCAAATCATGTCACTGTCCACCACCCGAATATTTGGTCTCCTAGCTCTCTCAATTTGGGATGTCACCAAAAGGAAGATCGACCAGTGGCTCCACAATACCTGCCATTGTGGACATGATGGTCAACATGAATGCGAACTACCTGACCTGGGCATCTGTCACTTCAGAGACCACAAAATTAAAGGTAGTTTTACTGAATAAAAAAATGAAAATCTATTTGATTTTATACAATTATTTGTGCTTTCTTATAATTAATATTACCAGCTAAATTACAATATTGAACTTTATACACACACATATAATTTTATATTCTAATAGAGAATGGAAAGTGACATTTTATTATGATAATGTTACTGTATGTGATAAAATATATCAAATTTACTAGTCTATAAGATAGACTTTAAGCCAAATTCTTTGAATATTAGACTGTATTGAATATGTTGCTATTATGAATTGAAACTTTGTTACTGAGAGTCAATGTTAGTGAATAACTTATGGCAATGTGACGTCGCCCCCCCTTGGTCACAGCGTCGACTCTGTTGTTCGATCTCGTTCGCGGCTCCAAGTGTGACGTTCTAACCCTTTGGTTAGATGATTACCAGCCTCGCCGTTCCCAACTCGCTTCCAACACCTGGTTACTAGGGTAACTGCACTGATCTCCGGTCTGCCTACCCCACGTTGTGATTAGATCTTAGACAGACGGGATCAAACAGGGATTAAATATGCAAGTTGAGTTCGACGGGGTGGCAACACACAAGTAAAAGAAAAACTCACGAGGCCAAAAATTACTGATAAAAAAGGGTAACAACCTTTTATATCTAAATGTTCGTACATAAAAATTATTCTTACTTCCCCCCCGTTTTGTGGACTGTGGCACCAAGCTTCTACCATACAATTTAAAGACTTCGAGTTGCCTACTCTCTAGAAATTTGCATGTCGGGGTGTGGTTTGGTTTCGACACTGGGCGCTGATCTCTACCAGTCGTTCACGGCTGATTCTTCTCTTCGGCTTGAGTTGGACGAGCTTATTCACTTCGGCTTGAGTTGGACGAATTCCTTCACTTCGATTTGGGTTGGACGAATTTCTATTCTTAGGTTTGGTTTGGACGAATTTATTCACTTCGACTTGTCTTGGACGAATTTCTCTTCATAGGCTTGGTGTGATTCCAACTCCAACTGCAACTTCTTCTCGCCAAGGTCTGAATTCTTTCCTCTGCCGTCCGGGGCTGAACTGATTTCTGTCGATTGGGGTCCTACTTTTATTGACGCCGCAACAAACTGGGGTGGGTCTGTCGGTGCCTGGGTTTTCTTGATAATTCTAAAAGTCGCATTATTTCTGATTTCCCATTATCGCTCTTACTTTCACTCCTACTTCCTCACAGTGCCTCTGGGGAAGGCGACACCCGTTCCCCTGGTCTCGTATGTCAGGTGACCGCTCTTGAGCAATGGGGTCCTGGCCGAGCATCCTCCCCCTCTCTTGCACATCACGTGACCGCTTTCGCCAATGACTCTGGTCGGTATCTTCCCTCCTTCCTTCGTGACGTCTCCAATCGGGCGTGGTCAATCCGGGCGTGGGAAGAAATCAATCAAAATCCAAATTGTCCTTTGTTCTGGGGAAGAAATACCTTGTTTAAAAAAAACAAAGAATTTTTCTCAAATTGTCCTTTTCTAAAACAATTGCTTTCACCTCTTTTCTTTCCTCAGGCCTGTTAATAAAATTTTAATTATCTGAATTGAAAATATCTTCCACTCATCATTTTTGGGTGGTCCTTACCTTCAACTCTAGAGCTGGTCAGGATTTGTATACTAATGTATACAATTCCAGCGGTCACTTATCAACTCAATGACACCCTTTTCAATTGTCACTTATTAATATTCTTTTCCATTGTTCTAAAAATTCCATTTCCTCAACCAAACTGATAATGAACTCCCATACTCCGCGGACACGAAAGTAGGTCAGGTGCTTTGACCGATATCTGGTATTTATCAATCATACGTGTGCCTATCCGCTTGCGGCCCGTCTTGATGTCATGTCTTTTCCCTTTCTTTCTTTTTATTATTTCTAAACTCTATTCTTTCAAATAACAATTTCTATTTCCCTGGATTTCGGTCAGGTGCTTTGACCTGGATATCTTTTGACACCTGTTTTGCTTATGACCGGGTTTTGTATTATCTATTTCTCCTTCTTTTTTTCCTCTTTCTTTCTTTCTTTCCTCCTTCTTCTTCCTTCGGATTGCCTAAATACAGTTAGAGAATTATTCTCAAAACTCAATTATTCTTCATCTCTAAATAAATATTAACTGGTTAATAAACCGAATAAAAATTAAATCATATTTCTATGATTATCTCTTTTTAGTTTTCTAATAATGTAGGGTGCCACAGCAAACAGTAACTGAAAATGTGTCTTGTAGGTATTCACATAAAAGTTTACAATAATACTTGCCAGAAATGATTCCTATAAAGGAAAAATGTAATGGCAAACCAGTATTTAACTTTTGTAATATTTTTTTTTTTAGAATATTTCCGGAACGTTCCAGTTATTCTGGATAAAAAAGCCATAAATAACTCATTTTTTATCAGGAATGATTAGAGTATAGAAAGTGAATACTTTCTCAGGTTTTTATTTATCTAAAAGTCTATTATTGAATATGTAAAATATTGTTGCTTTGATATAAAGCTACTTACCAAAAATATAAATGAATTTGTGAAAAAACAATTGAATTACTCTAATTCATTTTATTGCTAGATCAGGTGCTAAGAAAGTTGGTTCATTGTGTTGTGTGAGACAATTTTTCTCTCCAGAATCTATCTTGCATATCTATAAATCTACCATTCATCCATACTTAGAATATTGCAGTAATATATGGTCCTGCTATGAGCACCTTGATATAATACAAAGAAGAATCAGCTCTATTATTGGTCCTGATCTGGCAGCTTGGCTTCAGTTACTTTCCCTCCACCGTAAGGTTGGCTCTCTATGTCTTTTCTATAAGTACTTTCATTGTAATTGTTCAGATGAGCTCTTCACCATGGTACCTAGACTTTTTGAATTTAAGTGCAGCACTAGACTGGCATCGAGATCTGATTAATTTACAGTTGAACAGGCTAGATGTAAGCATAAATTCTATGTTAACAGTTTCTTTCTCAC